TCATATCAGGGCTGAGCGGGCAAAGCATTTTCCGTCTTAGACAGGTGAAACCCTCGGAAGGGAGCGGATTTTTCTTTCCGTTTCCGCGTTGGACAGGTTTCCATTTTATACTGGTAATTAAAGAGGAATATATCAAGGGGGGAGCGGGGAGATTCCTTTAAGACAGGTTTCCGTTTTATACAGGTTTCCGTTAAGGCAGGTTCGACTGTACATTATAATAATAATCACTGCATTTATATAGCGCATGTCCACACTCTACAGCAACTACATGGGCTTTACAAATATTAAATAATTAAACATTCTGCTTTACTGTACTTAACGCATATGTGATGAGGTCCTCCCTCAAGGAGACCAGACTAGTGCAAGATCTGAAATGTAAACTAAGTTCAATGAAACACAGTTGAAGGTGTTTGGGGAAAAGGAAAGGAGTGAGCACACTACTGTAGAAGCGAAGACGCCCTTCCTGACACCGACTTTCAAGTGCATCAGCTCCTCCATGGAAGAAGCCAGACGAAGTGAAAGGATGCTGCAACCGATAACACGCCACCATTTTTCTTCGAAGAAGAAGAGAAAAAAGATATAGAAGAAGAGGGAAAAAAGGAAAATGAAGAAAGCAACAACAACAACAAGTTCAACTTACGCAAGTTTGCTCCAATCTCCAGAGCCTCTTCCATTCTCCCAAGATTCTCCAGCATCTCCATCGACTTTCCCGTCAGGATCACTTTACCCAGGACCGAACCCAAAAACTTGGGATACAAGGCAGGCTCCACACAGACAGTTCTCTCCGCGGCATTGGGAATAGATGAGGACAAAGTCCCAGATCTCTGAGACGAGGCGCTGACATTTGCCAGGGGCTGAGACTCTGTTGTGGCTGCTGTTTCTGCATCGTCTTCCTCATCCTGGTTGAGGTTGGAGACAAAAGCTTTCTCCCAAAACGTCTCATCCAGAGATTTGATGTCTGTATTTCTAGAACCACAGAAAAGTTTGATATGGAGCAACATCAAAAGGCTAGCCCAGGATAGGGAAAGGTGGAAAGTGTTTGTTCATGACCTACTCCCTGACCCAGGGTGAGAAAGGCAATGATGATGACAAAGGGTTGACAACAAGGAGTCCAAATGAAAATAAGAGGAAGAATTATGGCTGTTGTTGTAGATGTCGCTGTTGTGTTTGCTAAGATTGAGTCAGTGACATGAAGGCCACATTTTGCTAACTATTGATCTTGAAAATCGCAACCATAAAAAAAATGCTGCAGACCCTATCAAAGCTTTGAACAGCAGTCAGCCACTACCCTCTCAAACAGCCAACACTATGTTGCAACGGACACAAAAACAAGTTTAAAAAAAAAAAATTATAAATTAAAATGTCCAGCAACTAGGTCATGTCCAACTAAGAATAAAGTCAAACCACAGGTTTGGGTGAGAGGTGGTTCAGGGTGAATTAACAGCACAACATCCACATCTCGCCAGAGACAGAGTCAACCAACAGTAAAACATTAACAAATAAAAGGAGCAGACAACTCAAAGTTCTCCCATAATCTAGTTTTAGTAAGTTTTACAGCACTTGCAACACAATAAGGTCATATAAGTGACGAAGATTAGAGGTGTTACAAGAGAGTAACAAACACTAAAAAGAAGGGGAGATAAAGACGATAGATGTTTGATAGGAAAGAAGCAAACCACACCAGAGCACCCGCTAACCACCCACTTTCCCACAATCTACCTGTTGAGAAGAGTGAGTGAGACGTAATGAAGCAGGAACAAACAAACAGGCACATACAATAATGACCAGTACGCGGTCAACAAAATGGAAAACTTTAAACTTCCTGGTCAACAGACCTGTGGAGGACAAATTCTCCGGCTGGATCCATAAGATGTCCACAGTTGACCCAGTCACTGGCAATCCTCAGCAGTGGTTCACTGCACGCTATCAACATCCGGAGTAGCAGCTTTCCCTGGACAACAGGAAAAAGAAATATTAAAGAAATAGAAATGTTAAAAGCAAACTCCTTCCTCAGACTGTCCCCCTCCACTATTTAGAACTGACTTGGCCTAGAACCCAAGAGGTCATGTCTAGTACTAGAGTTCATGGCACTGATGTCTCCCACGTAGAGACGAACGAGGGCTGCGTGTGCCCACTCTGGGACGCAGAACTTCATGTACACACATGCACAGTTCAACAGACGAGTGAGTACTATTCAAGACTGACGTGGAGGTATCTCGGTGGTCTTAGGAGGAAATCTACAAGTTTGCACTGAAATATGACGGCATGGCAGTAATAATATACTAGAGATCGTGGGTAGCGGATTGAGGGTTCAGACTGTTCTTGTAAGTGGGAGTGTGCTGGCTATTTATGTATTTTGCGAATTGCACTGTGTATATTATTTTATTATATATTTGTATGTGCTCATTTCGTAACGACGTGTAAGCGTGCGCGTGTGATAAGAAAGTAGATGCGTGTGTGGTGCGTGTGTGAGTGTGTGTGTGTGTGTGTGTGCGTGTGTTTGGCGTGCACGTGTGTGCACATGTGTGCGTGAGTGTATGCGTGTGTTTGTGTGTGTATGTGTGTGAGTGTGTGTGAGAGAGTATGTGTGTGTGTATGTGTGGGTGTGTATGTGAGTGTATGTATGTGTGTGTGCGTGAATATGGTTCGTACATGCATTTATGTAAAGCGCCTAGAGTGGGCGCAATAGAAATGATCTTCATTATTATCATTATTATTATTATTAAGGTAAGAAGGGCTCCCATCCATGTCTGACACGTGTGGCATCACTGCCGCGAGCTCTAGTATAATATATAACCACTTTGCTCAGAAGTCCTATCCAGGGTCACCACTGGGGGTCACTGGGAGGCAGGCGCAGGACACATCAGGCTGTGATTGTCAGTGCAGACAAAGACTGTGAGGTTATACTTTTTTAGTTTAGTTTTAGTAAGAGTTTTAGGGCACTTGCAACACATTAGGTCAAATAAGTGCTGGAGATAGATGTGTCACAAGAGAGTAACAAACACAAAAAAGAAGGAGGAGCAAACCACACCAGAGCACCCACCAATTGCCCACAAGTCATTCATTACTTTTGCCGCATAAAAGAAGAAAGAAAAGAAAGTTAAAAAGGTGGGAAAAAAAACTATTAGTCCTATTGATCTCTCGAGGAAACTGAAGGTGCAACAACAAGTTATACATAATCTGAAAATTAAGTACTTCTTAAATTACATATTGGGTATAATATGATTCACATAAGACATGCAACTTATACATCAACATTGGTCATTTTCAAGCCTTGGTGGACTAACTATTATTATTATCATTATATATCAACGGACAATTTTGCAAATACATCATTGTTGTTCATTCCTATGCAGCACCAAACTTAACCCTCTGCATGTAGCCTAAACTACTGCTCAGTGCTGACCGCGACCACTGGTCACGATATACATAGACCTAGTTTAAAGCGAAGAACGAAGATGACGAAGCAAAAATTTGCGTTGTGCTTGATACTTGTCCATGCAGTATTGATTCTAGCGACCACTTTGAATCACGCTGATCGTTAACAATCTTGTTTGAGGGTTTTGTGGGGATATTTCAGAAGATTTTGGTTGTTGTGAACAATTTTTCAAAACGTCTGACCAGGAAGGTGACAAGGGATCAGACATAGACCTACTTGATGTATTTATTGACTCAGACCCTGGCGTTTTTGAGGATTTAAAACAACCGACATTCCTAGGGGAAATGACGACATCGTCGTCTTTACCAATTACCATCTAGGTGAAGAGAGAACAATCAGCGTTTAGTGCTTTTCCCATGGTGCATCATCCAGTCGAGCTGAGCCTTCACTAACTGAACTCACAACCGTATGATTATAAGTCTGGTAGACTACTGATGCCACCCTACAGAGGTACCACCACATTAACCCTATCTGTATGTCGTGTTTTACAATCGTATCCATACAACTTGAGGAACTCTGTGCCACAGTTTTCAAAGAGGAAATTTACTCGTTAATCTGATCCGTATGTTTTGCATAGCAGTCTGTCAAAATGATTTTTTGATAAATACCGAAAGTTTCAAAGAAATTTTCGTACTAGAAGTATTCTACAATGTGAAGAATAGAACCCGGGGGGTACAACATGACCCAACGGCATACGGATAGGGTTAAAAGGCATAAAACTATGAAAATTAAGAGAAAAGAGATAAATGACATACCACTCCCTCCCCGTCCACTCCACAGAGTAGATCCGACTCAAACACAGACTCATACAGCGTGTCGAGCAGAGCCGTGGCCTTGACACAGTTGTTGGCCGTGCGGTGGTGGTGAGAGGCCTGGGCCACCCCACAGATGTACACACCGTGCACGGCCTGAAGTTTTGGCAGCCAGGAGCGAAGGTTAGAGGTCAGCTTGTCCAGCGTTATCAGCTTTTCTGGAGAAGCGAAAAACAATTTTAAAGTCAACGAAAAGAAAGCAAAAAAAGAAGAAAAAGAAAATCTGATTTTGGTAAAACAACACAGTCAAACCTGCTCTAACAACCAAGTGTCTAAGACAATCACCTGTACAAATGACCACCCCCCCCCCTCCCCTTTGTGATTTTCCTATGATATGACACTCTCCAAGAAGACCACCTGTCTAAGATAACCACATTTCTCCTTGACTAGGTGCGGTCGTCTAAAACAGGTCAGGCAGTATTTTTGAAAACTAAGTCTTTTCCAAAATGAGATGTCGATATATATATATATGCTACCATTCCATTAAACAGATGACAGCATAGACGTAGCAAACACATCAACTTGTCTTATCTTAGTAAGAGTTTTACGTCACTTGCAACACAGTTAGGTCATATGATATTACAGCCAAAGATTTGTTTTTAAATTGTGAAATGATGTATAGATTTAATGCCCCTATCAACACTATTAGGCTCTTTAAGAGGCAGGACCTCTGAATTTAATGTCCATCTCCGAAAGGACCGAGTCACATGGGGATTTTGTGTAAAGTGCCTTTCCCAAGGACATAACTTCAGACCTAGCTCAGGCTCAAAACCCCGAACCCACAATCTAACCACTAGGTTACCAATGCCACCTCTCAAAGCTTAGAGGCGTTACAAGAGAGTAACAAACACAAAAAAGAAGAAGAGATAAGGAGGACAGATGTTTGATTGAAAAGGAGCAAACCACAACAGAGCACCTGCCAACCACCTACAGAAGAGAAAACAGGAAGAAAGTAACAAACACAAAAAAGAAGGAGAGATAAGTTAGTTTTAGAAAGGTTTTATGGCACTCGCAACTACACAAGGTTATATGAGTACCTAATGGAGAATGTCAACAGAGTAGTCCAAACGGGGAATCAGGCTTACTCTGCTCACCTCTCAAGCCTCAACAGCACGAAGTCTACTAGGAGAGATAACGATAACAGATATTTGATTGAAAAGAAGGAGCAAACCGCACCAAAGCACCTGCCAACCACCCACAGAAGACACAACAACCGACGACACGGACACTCCAGCTGACCTTGTCTCATGACCTCCTGCTCCAGCCCCACCAGAAAGCTCTTGAAGTCTGACAGGAAGCGGAACACACAAGACCCGAATGCCTGGTACGTCTGTGGTGGGGGAGCCCCAGTGTCTCCTCCGCAGTTCTGGGCCACCAGGTCGGAGACGAACGTGGACAAAGCGTGAACCTGATTGGCCTTTCTCATGAGTGGCCGCAGGGAGCACTCCAGACTTTCCTGCCAGGATTTGTAGAAAATTGGTTTTTTGGTTTTAGTTAGCGTTTACGGGCACTGGTAACACAATAAGGTCATATTAGTGCCAAAGATTAGAAGTGTAACTAGAGAGTAATAAACACAAAAAAGGAGGGGAGATAAGTTTAGTTTTAGTAAATGTTTTACGGCACTTGCAGCACAATAAGGTCAAATAAGTGCTGAAGATTAGAGGTGTTGCAAGAGAGTAACAAACATAAAAAAGGAGGAGAGATAAAGACGATAGTTGATTGATAGGAAAGAAGGAGTAAACCACACCAGAGCATCCGTCAACCACCCACAGAGGGGAGATAAGGATGATAGGTAATTGAAGGGAAAGAGGGAGCAAACCACACAAGAGCACCTGTCAACCACCCACAAAGATCAGTTTGTTCAAAGCGAAAACACAGATTTGACTGTTTCATTTAGCCTAACACAGAGAACATCCACACAATGACTGTTGTTAAGTGCTCGGAAAGGTCTTTCACCAGAACCATCAAGAAGACACAGTTGAGATTCTCTGGCCACATAAATAGAAGAAACAGACATGACAAACTTCTACTGTCGGGAGAGATGGAGGGAAAGACAGCAGAGGAAAACAAAGAACAACATATGGCCTCAGAAACTTTACGACAAACAACACAATGAATAAAAATTGAGCAGATCAGGAAGACTGACAACAGAAAGAAATGGGGTGCCATATGCCTCAATGTCTACCCTAAACCTGCCACTTGTAGAAGGAGAAGATGTGCACTGAAAAAGTATCACAGACAAGAGTTTAGAAACAAAAATCAAAGACGATCAATCAGTGGTACCCTCCAAATATCTGTATGATGGTTTCAATAAAAAACAAAACACAAATAGAAAAAAACCCAAAGGGCTGCCAACATAAAAACAAAGGTTCTCTGTTGCAAATCTTCAGTGATACCACAGCAGAGTTTGGGTTGGAAAGTCAAATAGATGAAAGAAACATTTCAGATTCAAAACAGCTGAGTTTAGATGGATACGGATAGCAGTCATGTCTGAAAACGGACCCGTTTTGATCCCCCCAAAAAAATCTATCAATGTCAACACACACAAAAAAAAGATGTACACAAATAATACCACACAAAAACAACCACTCCTGATTATAACAAGGAAAACCAGATTGCCATAAGTAAGACTGGAGAGGCTAGCTTGTAACATGAAGCAAACAACAATATTGATCCTCTACTGAAAGGCATTCCCAGTATGCATTTAGCAAGTTCTGCATATCAAACTACACATCACATAGTACTTTCTCTCTCTCTTTCTCTTTCGAAAAATCTGCCCATGTCACAGAATATTTCTGATAGCTGGAAAATATTTCTAAAATGAAATCTACATTCTCCTATAACACTTAAAGTACTGAAAGCTCATATAGTGAAAAACCCTCAAGTACCACACCAGTTTGGAACACTGAAGCCATCGAAGAATGTCGTTACATTTTCTTTAAAAACCTTCGCAGCCCAAGAAACATGCTTGAAAAAACTCAGAACTTTATCAACCATTCAGCTGTCATATAGAGTGACTTCCTTTGGTATTTACTTCAGTGCATTGGCTTTGTTTGTTGTTTAATTATGTTAAGTGTGCCTGGTCGAGTCGGGGATTACAGCCACCAGCGGTAATGAGAGCATACTACGGCCTGGCTACTAAAGTCACCAATGGTACTAAAAGTGTTAGATTTCTTAATCCCATGTGTAAGTTTGACATTGAAATTCACCGCCACCATAAAATTTCAAATAAACAATTTTAAAAGTCATTACTAGAACAGCAACACCTGAGTATATTCTGCACTTGTAGAGTCCAGACAAAATAAATGGAAAACACACAAAACAGTTAAATAACTTTGTAAAAAAATAAAGTTCAACGAAGCTTTCGTTCTAAGTTCTGTACATTTTTACTGCAACACTCACAGTGGACAAATGCATGACGTACACATCAGGGTTGAGGCTGAACTCTTTGCCCGAGTGCTTGAAGATAAAAGAGTCTGGGATACCCATCAAGATCCTACCGGCAGAGAAAATAGGACAGACATTTGAGATAACAATGGTGACTGTAAATGTTTGATGAACCCATCAATACAATTTAAACCTTTATGGACATAGGCTGCTTCAGCGCATAAATGGCCATAACCACAAACCATCTCACATCTGCCAGTCTGAAACAGTTATCTCCACCTCCTGACGAGGATGCATCAATAACTTAAAATTCACAACAGAAACTCATACAAAGGGATACAAAACCATAAATGAATAATCATTTTGTCAACCATTATTTCCTTCATCGACCATCTATCACAGCTGAAAAATGTGATTAAAAGAAACAGGTGACATAAGAAATTGAATAATGAACAATTACAAAAATTATCTTAGAGCAGAGGTAAATTATGGAAAAACTATAAAACTAATATATTAAACTGACAAAGGGGCATTAACAAGTTGCACAGCACATACAGCCCTCTTTTCAGCATAGAATATGCATTATAAATTAACATAATCTATTATCCTCCTGATAAACTTGTCAGTATAAAACAGTATAACAAAACAGGTCCAATCAGCGGCCAAGACAGGATTTAGTGAGACCTCCAGAGCTAACAGACTAGAGCCTTCACCCACCATAGAGTTTCTCTGATGATCTGAGTCTCAGTGACCACAACATTGGCCACTGGGCAATCAAACTCATTCATTTGTCTCTTGTAGGCATTCCTGTAAAGAAACGAGGAAGACAGAAAAAAAATATATAATTTTATTCGTTTATTGATCAACATAATTGGCAATATAACAAGCACATCAACACAATAACACGACATTTCATCATCAATGCCTTTCACCCCTGGCAGGGTATAGGCCACATACAAGCTCCTTCCATTTATCTCTATCCTGGGCCATCCTTCCCAGCTCGTTCCAAGTGAGCTTCATCTCTCTCATGTCCCTTTCCACACATCTCCTCCATGTCTCTTGTGGCCTACCCCTGCCTCATGCTCCCGGTGGGTTCCATTGCAGTGACAGTCTTGTGATGTTTCCGCTGGGCTTTCTGAAGCTGTGTCCCATCCAATGCCACTTTTTTAGTCCTATTTCTACTTCTATATCCTTTTGTCCGGTCCTTTCCCATAGCTCTTCATTTCTTATTCTATCCTGCCACGACATTTAGATCAGGCAAAAAGTAACGACAGAAAGACAGAAACAAAAAGAAGAAAAAAAAAAGATGTAGGACCAACTAGAGGCGCCCTCCAATCACTCACATGGTACAATGTGATCCAGCAAGGACATATATAACACAACAAGTAGTTTCAAAGAACACCCCACCTCTGTTAGTGGGTGGTTGGCGGGTATTCTGATGTGGTTAGCTCCTTCTTTCCTATCAAACATCTATCGCCTTTATCTCTCTAATTCTTCTTTGTGTTTGTTACTCTCTGGTAACAGGTCTAATCTTCGACACTTATATGACCTTATTGCGTTGCAAGTGCCATAAAACACTAACTAAAACAAAAAAACATCTCTGTTATGTAGACCAAGGCCACAAAACAGCTTAATGTCTACCAACTAGTCGGGCACAAATAACATGAGTTCTTTAAAACTCGAAATCGCAGATAGCTCGTACAATATGCCATTTCCTGACCGATATGCTTATTTTCTTTGTTTTGGCACCACTGGTTTCTCAAACACACCAATGGAATTGTTGAACAGCTTGTCTAGAAAAACGTAATCAAATTTTTCCTCTCAATTGTCACAAATTCAAACCAACCAACAAGCATGATAGAAAATAACGCACCTGCCTTCATCAAGACTATAAAGTTATATAAAGACACCAGATGTGCCAAAGATTAGAGGCGTTACAAGAGAGTAACAAACACAAAAAAGAAGGAGAGGAGATAAGGACAACAGATGTTTGATAGAAAAGAAGGAGCAAACCACACCAGAGCACCTGCCAACTACCCACAGATAGGTTTTACCTAGAGCATTCA